TGGGTGCTTCACACCTGAAGAAGGCTCCATAGACGAAACATTGTGTTTCTTTTCTTCTCTTTTCAGCATGGAATAAACTTTTACTTGTTCTTTTGCAGCCTACGCATACTGATGCAGCTACCAACCTGAACTTCTTCATACTACTACTACCACTAATAATAATAATAATAATAATTATTATTATTATTTCTTGTACATAGCTCTTTTCTGGACACTCCACTCAAAAGTGCTTTACAGGTAATGGGGATCCCCTCCACCACCAGTGTGCAGCCCCAATTGGATGATGCGACAGCAGCCAGAGTGAGCAAGTACACTCCCCACACACCAGCTATAAGGACCTCGGTTTTATGTCTCATCCAAAAGACGGCGCCTTTTTACAGTACAGTGTCTCTGTCACTATACTGGGGCATTAGATCCCACACAGACTGCAGTGTGAGCGCCCCCTACTGGCCCCAGTAACACCTCTTCCAGCAGCAGGTTTAGCTTTCCCAGGAGGTCTCCCATCCAGGCTCACACCTGCTGAGCTTCAGTGGGCTGCCAGTTATGAGTTGCAGGGTGATATACCTGCTGGAAAAATATGGAAATAATCACACTAATGTGTTCTTATCAGCCTCTGCTCTGGGTGGAAATAACAGTGGGATCTTCTAACAGTCACTTCCCCTGTTCTCTAAAACTCTGCAGTTTTATGCACAAATTGACAAGGATTAGAACTGCAGGCCCCTGACTCTGATCCCTTTTCCTATGCTGAGGGATGGTGGGATTGTGTGTCTGCCCTCTGGAAGGAAATGCTGTGTTCAAAGCCTGCTCTTCGCTATTGTCTGCAGGTGACACACTGGCTCCTGTGAACGTTAGGAACAGGACATCTACACGCCGCAGGTGGGAGAGCTGGTTGTGTGTCAAACAGGAGGGTGACATTGAGCCTGAGAGGAGTTTCTGAAATGAAAAGAATTGCAGTTTCACCCACTTCACTTGAAAAGGGAAGGAAAAACAATTCAGTCAGGTTGTTAACTAATAATAAAAGGAGGACAAAAGACTTAAAATTCTTTGCTGAAGATGGGAATCATCATGAAGACCTTTTTTTCTTTTTAATGTTTCTTTTTAATTTTCCTTTCAAGGCATTTTGGCCTCAGCGTCGTCCCAGAGTGATCCAGACTACGCGAACACTGCTGTGCAGTGAAGCCTGCGAGAGCAGGAACTGAGTCACCTTTCTTCATGTTGCATTTTCATTTGACTCAGGTGTTCAGCGTGCAATAGACAATGTCATTATGAAACCTTGTCGGTTTCTCAGGTTTCCTGAACTTGCGCACAGTTCTCTTGGCCCATTCTTCCCCACTGTGTGTTCTCATCCCACTGCTGCTGCAGCCCATTAATGCTAAAAGCTTCAATCAACCTTCCGCTCCGCTATACTAAAATATTTAAGACAAACTAATTGTATGTGCCGTTTTGCATCAAGAGATCTGCCTGTTGCAGGCTCAACAGTTCTGAAATTGTTCCCTGTGTGAGTGAGCTGAGATTCATTTGTGTTTTCCCTATCATGTGCAACACATGATGGTCTGTGTTTCATATCATGTGTAACATATCACGTGCACATGATATGAATAACAGAGATGTAATCTCAGCTCACTCACACAGGGAAAGATTGAAAGATTGATGTCCCTGTTTTCACTATACCTAGGGACATAACAGAACTGTCCAGGTCACCAAAAGTTACCTTCAAATAAGTGGTGTGAATAATCAGGATGCAGCTCTCCTCTAGAACATTCTTCAGCTCCAGTTCACTACCCTCCAATGCCCCCAGACAGGGATGAATGGAAATCTTGTCTTGCTTGATCAGCCCCCAAGAACAGAGGCTCTTCAATAATGCAGGTGCTGCTTTGTTGTGGGTTTGCAGAGCCTCTTTCACTACGCTCATCCGTTGACTCGTCCAGAGGGCCCTTTTTGAAAGATGAAGACTGGCTATGGGAGAGTAGCTGGAGCAGAGTGGCTGCAGTACTAGGTGTACAGAGAGTGAGGAGTTTGAGATGCTGAGGCAGAGTGTGTACAGGGTGTGAGGAGAGTGAGACACTACACCAGAGTGTGTACAGGGTGTGAGGAGAGT